GGAGGGCAGGCCAGTCCCGCGTCTCTCGTGGGCGTCATGGGGCTCAGGTTGACTTTGGGGAAGAGAATCTGTTTCCCTCCCGAGGACACCTGGAAAGTGTAGGGCCGAGGCATGGTCTGGCGCTCCTCCACCTCCTGCCACCTCAGCTCCTCCACCCTGCGGTCTCTGTCCCGGGCCGGCGCCTCGCCCCCGCACACCCCTGGTTTCTGGGGAGGGGGTGTGCGGGCTTCGCTTCTCTCTTCCAGGCCCGCACACCCATCCTGCCTGCGAGCATCCCCCCGCTGCGCCTGCGGCTCTCCGGGGGGCTCAGCCTCGGGACTCTGCTTCCCACTTGGTGCCTCGGCGTTCTCTCTTTGCTTGTCCGGCTTCAGGTGCTCTGGTTCCCCTGCACAGTCCGTCTGCAGCGGGCTCCTGTCGTCCGCCCCCGGCCCGCTCTCCTCCCCTCTCCGTGCTCCCTGAGGCTCCTTTTCCTCTTCCCGTCGCCGCTGCGCCTCCACTTCCTCCTGCCTTTTTCTCAGCTCTTCCCTTCTCCTGGCCTCCTCCTCTTCCCGCCTTCTGAGCTCCTTCCTCCGGTTCTCTTCCTCCTCCCGCTGCCTCCGATCCTCCTCCTCCCGCCTCTTCCTCTCCTCTTCATCCCGCAGCCTCTGTTCCTCCTCTTCCCGCCTCTTCCTCTCTTCCTCTTCCTTCCGCAGCCTCTGTTCCTCCTCCTCCCGCCTCTTCCTCTCCTCTTCCTCCCGCAGCCTCCGCTCCTCCTCCTCCCGCCTCTTCCTCTCCTCTTCCTCCAACCGCTGCTTCTCCTCCGCTTCCCGCCGCCTCTGCTCCTCCAGCTCCTCCAGTCTCCTGCTTTCCTTCAACTCTCTCTCCTCTGCCTCCTGCCGCCGCTTCTCCGCCTCCTGTCTGCTCCGCGCCTCCAGCTCCTGGTGCGCGAGGCTCTGCAGCCGCTCAGCCTCTTCCTCCGGGGGCTCCTGCTCACCCGCTTCTTGGGGTCCGCCTTCCTCTGGCTGCCTGCACTCTGGGGCTGGGCCACCTTGCTCGTCCAGCCTCCGCCTTTCCTCTGTGCACTGCCTCTTCCCTGCCTCTGGCTGTGGTTCTCCCTCCTCTCCCTCTTCCTCTCCTTCCTCCTCCAGGAGCTCCTGCCTGCGGTTCTCTTCCCAAAGCCGCTGCTCCAGGGCCCGGAGCCTCTGCTCCTCCAGGCGTCTCCTCTCGGCTGCCTCCGCCTTCTGCCGCTTGCACTTGGCCTCCAGTTCTCGCCAGTATTCTTCCTGGCATCTCTTCTCTCCCTCCGCGTCCAGAGGCTCCGGCTCCTCTTCATGCCACATCAGCTTGTCTTCTCCAGGGTGTCCGTTCTGGTCCAGGGACAGCTGGCTGGGAAGGCCTCCTTGTTCATTTGGTCGAGCCTAACATTGGCAAGGGAAACAGAATTAGCTTTCTCCTTGTACACAGGTAACCATCCCTCATCCTAGTCGCTATGCAGGTGGGCCTCTTACTCTCCTGGTTTGGGGACAGACTTTTAAATGCCCTGGCGTGGCCCCTGGGAGCCCCGCCCACTGACCTCCTGCCCTCGGATGGTGGCAAAAGGGAGCCCTTTGCTTTTCTGGACATGGGGTCAGGGACGCAGCAGGGCCCTGCCATTTTAGGTGACTCTTAAGGGTCTTCCTTGCTTCTTCCTCACTTAAACAGCAGGAAATCCCTTTTGCTACTGCTCAGAGGGGTTGTTTTGGGGCTCACAACTTGGTCATTTCTCCAGGGGTTGTCTTGAGTTCACTAGAATGTCAGCTCCAGGAGCTCTGTAAGGGAAGGGATTTTTGTCTGTTTTGTATTCTGCTGTATTCTCACTAGGGCCTAAGTCGGTGTCATAATAGGTGCTCAATAAAAATGGGTTTGATGAGTAACGGAGAAAAAGAGAAGGGGCAGCTCTAAGTATAGAGACAGGTAAACTCAGGCCCAGAGTAGACTGTGAGGGAGTAAACACCTTCATGTTTACTCCCTTTATCTGTCATTCTCAAATTCCCTGTTCTTAATGTGAATACTCGCAGGAAAACCAATAGTCCAGTATTAGAAGAGAATTAGTGCCCAGCAAGCAAGGGCAGCTGCCTGGTCAGCTAGGATGAGCTCTACATACCCCGGCAAGTCCAAGTCGCCTGTGCTTCTTTGACACCCTCTGGTTTTTTGGCTTAACGGACAGTTTGTGCTTGGCGGCACTGTTGTCCAAGCGAGCGATGGCCAAGGGGATGGCGTCCAGGTTGACACTTTCGATGGTGCCCGCAGAAGAGAAGTGCCTTTTTGGCCGAGGTTTAGCTGGAGCTGCCTGTGGTGGAGATTAAAATATTTAATCAGCCCTGGCTGGTTTGGCCCAATGGATAGAGAGTCGGCCTGCGGACTGAAGAGTCCCGGGTTCAATTCCGGTCAAGGGCACATGCCCGGGTTGTGGGTTCAATCCCCAGTGAGGGGCGTGCAGGAGGCAGCCGATCAATGATTCTCTGTCATCATTGATGCTTCTGCCTCTCTCCCCCTCTCCCTTCCTCTCTGAAATCAATAAAAAATATATATTAAAAAGTATATATATAATCAGTCTGAATCAGAAAACAACCTGCAGGGAATCCGGGGAGGGAAGCACTTTTGGGTGCCTGTGCCTCACCCCGCCTAGTGGGGGGGCTCACTGGGACCGTGAAATGAGCAATGCTCTTGGAATCAAGACAGAATGTTAACTACTGGCTCTGCCAGTGCTATTTGCATGAGTCTGTAATGGTTATTTAACCTTCCAGGGACTAAGTTTCCTGCTCTGAATAACATGTGCATTAGATGAGGGGTTGACAAAACTGAATCCGGCCCGCAGCCTGTTTTGGTAAATTTTTGCTGACACACAGCCACACCCATCGGCATTGTCCAAACGGAACGGAGAGTCTTGTAGTTGGACCTTCTGGCCACAGAGTCTAAAATAAGTAGTAGTTTCTTGAGCGCTGGACAAGCTCATCTCTAGACAAAGAACAGTTACCCTAAGAGCGTTCCTATTACCTCTGACCCTGTATGAACACACCTCCTCTCCACCTTAGCAGGGAGGGTGTCTTTTTCATCTTCGTATCAGCCCACTTTATGCCCAAGTAGCAAATGTCATTTGGCAAGGGCTCAATAAATATTTAGTCAAGGAATGAAGGAACAATAACATCTCTGACTAGGGCATGAAATTTCTAACCCACAAACATGTGTTAGCACCATCGCTCCAAAGTCATAGAGCACTGAGGGCCCTGAGAAGCTAAAGGGAGGAGCAGAAACGCGGAACACGCCAGGGAGAGGGCAATTCGTCAAAGGATGAGTTGCGGCGCCGCTTGCTTGCAGTCTGTAATGCAGACGCCATCACTTAAGTACCACGGATGAACTGCACAGACTTAGAGGCTGTGGCTCAGCCTGAACCCGGAGGCCACAGTAGGCAGCCAAGGAAGGGCTCCTGGCCACACCAGACACCACCCGAACATGCAGCAGAGGGCGCTCACAGCCACTGTTGGAGCCAGCAGCTCTCAGGCACAGAGCAAAAGAGGCCACGATGCCCCTGACTGTGACCCAGCTCTTAAGTGCAGCGTCAGTGGGGTTTAGCCAAGGGTTTTGCTTTTTGCAGTCACCTTCCATATTTACACATGAGAGCTGAGGCACCACGCTAGCTCCATAAGCAAAAGGAATGCTCAGTAAACAACATATGACAAGGAGCACAGACGTAAGGAAAAATAGTTCCAGCTTGGGTCCCCTAGCTCTTATTTATTTATAGTTATCTTTATAATACATATCATATCCTGAACTACTGCTGCAAAGAGATGAATTAGCCCAACCGGCGTGGCTGAGTGGTTGAGCATCGACCTATAAACCAGGAGGTTACGGTTCAATTCTGGTCAGGGCACATGCCCTGGTTGCGAGCTTGATCCCCAGTGCCGGGGGTGGTGGTGGTGGGGGGCGTGCAGGAGGCAGCCGATCAGTGATTCTCTCTCATTGATGTTTCTGTTCCTCCCTCCCTCTCCCTTCCTCTCTGAATTCAGCTCCAGCAACTGCATCGCCATGGAAACAGACGCTCCAGTATCTACCACTGGTTGCAGTTGAAAGAAATTTAAAGTGATGGATGAAGGCAGCATTGATGAATGGGAAAATGAGGCAGAAGACTGTGGGGGGAGAAAGGGAGGGATTAACTATGTAAGTTCAAATCATGTTACCTTCTCTTCCATCTCCCTTCTGGCTCCAGGCGGATTCGGAGGACTCGGAGAACTTGGCGTGTCACTAGACTGAAACAGTAAAGAGAGTGCTTGAGTCACACGCCAAAACAGGAAGCTTTGGGCAGCTAACCAGACATGGTCTGTGCTTGGAAGGGCCGCCCCCTCCTCCACACAGGGCGCAGCTGCCTTCAAAGAGCTGGCAGGGGTCACGGTGGGCACTTTGCTAATGTCCAGACTCCACAGGACTCCTGAGGCCCACAGTGTGCCCTCCCCTCCTATGAGTCCAACACGATACCAGATGGGCTGTCTCCAACCTCAGTCCCTGGTGTTTCCTGCAGCTGGGAGGATCGGGGGCTGCCCTACAGCCACGGCACCTGGAGGCAGGGCTCCGACCTCAGAGCTTTGGCTTTGCTGGCTGCCTCCCACCCGCTTCACCTGCTAAGCCTCCCCGCTTCTCTCTGAGAAGGAAAGAGGCCCTACCAATGCCGCACCCAAAGGGCTGAGCCGAGAAGGTGAATGACCAGAGGAGGAGAAACAACTCAGGAAAGAAGGAAGGAAAAGGAAATGGCTGGAGATTCCCAACCATGGCGTGGGCCTGCCCTGGGAACACCCTCAGGTCCGGCACCTGCACCTTCCTGGTGGCCCGCCACACCTTCTATCTGGTATTGCCAATATTTACAGAAGGGTCTACTGTCCCTTCCAGAGCGGTCCTGCCAGCCTGCCCTACCTCAGTCTGTTTTCTGCACCACACGTAGAAGCATCTTTAGAAAACACAAATCAGATTATGTCACTTTCCTGCTCCAAATTACTCAGAGACTTCCTACTTTAGAGTTCACCCATTTCCTGTAGTCTGCAGGATCCGGCCCCGGAACCACGTGCTCCCCTCCATGGCCCCCCAGAGCCCAGGGGCCGCGCTGACCTCCTCCTCAGGACAAGCTCAGCCCCTTCTCTGGGCCTCAGCCTTGCTGCTCCCTCTGCCTAGAGCACGCCCACCTCCTGGTTTGCTCTGGGCAGCGCTGATCTTTCAAGTCACTCACTTTTCCATCATGTATTTTATTTCCATTTTTCTTGATCTGAAATTTTATATATATACATAAAACAATTTCATTGATAAGTTGTTGTTTTTCAAATCCTCACCTGAGGATATTTTTCCATTGATTTTTAGAGAGAATGGAAGAGAGAGGGGAAGACGGAGAGAAATATCAATGTGAGAGAAACATCGATTGGTTGCCTCCTGCATGCACCCTGACCAGGTTCTGGGCCGGAGATGAGCCTGCAACTAAGGTACATGCCCTTGACCAGAATCGAACCCAGGACCCTTCGGTTCGTAGGCTGATGCTCTATCCACTGAGCCGAACCAACAAGGGCTCAAATTATTATATTGATCTTTGTTGACTTGTATGTTATCTGACTCTCATTACAACATAAACTACCAGGGCAGCCCCATCTAATCTTGTTCACCTCTGTGATACCACAGCTGGGACAGAAAGCTGGCTGAACAAATGACCTTCCCTCCCCCCAGGCGCCAGCACCTTGCACGTCTCAGGTTGTCAGTGACAGTGAGGCCCGGGGTGTCTTTGGGAAACCCCTGCCTGGAGGCTGACGGCTGCTGCCCTGGAGGCTGCAGAGGGCAGGCACCTCTGGCCACAGGGGGAGGAAGGGGCCCATCCCTGCGTCACCCACCACCTACAGTGTGAGTGCCGGGAGCCATCAGGCAGGCCCAGGCAGAGATGAGCAACAGGTGGGGGCATCCTTTTCTTTCCTTCCGCACTTTGCTCTGCAAGTTGCTCGTCCCCCTTCCTATCCGTAGGCCCTGTCAGCCTAAGCAGGACAGCACGCAGGCCTGCGTGGTGGGGGGGATGCCCATTTTAGTAACTCAACCTCACCCGGCACCTTGGAGGCAGAGTGCAAGGGTGCTCCCAGGCAGGGAGACTTGGAGCTTTGCCTGGAGAACTCCTCACTCCAGCTCCTCCTTCCAAAAGAGGCCTGAGGGTGTCCCTTCTGCAGCTGGAAGGCCTCGCATTTCAGAATATGCTCACCCTAGTTTTTTCAGTGTCAAAAGACCAAATTTAGCCCTAGCTGGTCTGGCTCAGTGGTTAGAGTGCCAGCCCGAGGACTGAAGGGTTGAGGGCTCCATTCTGGTCAAGAGCATGTACCTTGGTTGTAGGCTCAATCCCCCGGCGGGTTGAGGCGTGTGTGGGAGGCAACCAATCGTGTCCCTCTCACATTGAGAGGGACACGATTGGTCCCTCTTTCTCTCTCTCTCTCTGTCTCTCCCCATTCCTTCCACTCTAAAAAAAATCAATAGAAAAAATTATCCTTAGATGAGGATTAACAACAACAAAAAACCCAACAAATTCAGAGAGGGCAGTGCTGGACCTGTGGCCCTTTCCACACTCGGTAGCTGGTCTGGTTGAGATGTGCTCTCTTGTTGACCTACTTCTTTCTTGTCTTATTTCCCTTTAAATTAGTCCAATCCAACAAATGATTACTGGGGAGACAGAGATGTGTAAGATGCAGTTTTGTCCTTGAGGAACTCAATGTTTAGAGACGGAGAGAAAACTGTTAGGCGGGTATAGACACAAAAGGGCTCCTGCTGTGTAGGAAGTGCTGAGGATGCACAGCCAAGGCCCGGAGGAGACAGCACAGCTTGGCTTCCCAGACCTGAGTCTCAAGGAGCACGTGGAAGACCCTGGGAAGAGCACGTGCAAAGGGCATGGCCCAGCTGCCCCC